AATCATTTTTGGGACAATATATCGTGCATCAAAATGTGTAATTGTGACAGGCCTACCATAATATTTTTAATAAGTTATCTTGGCACATAATCTGTAAAAATGTAATGAAATGTCTTCAACTGAATAGATATTGAATTAAATTAAATTGAGACCATGTGAATCGGAATGGATTTATAATAAACAAGAATTTAGAAGGATGTTGTCAAAGTGTAGTTTGACCTCTGACCTCTTTTGTCCCTCCCCGGATGCTGTAGGGCGATGACGCGGTGACCTGTTGCTCTCGAGCCAGCACGTGTCCACGCTGTGATTTCACCTCTTTATATACAGTCTCTGGATCTAACCTTATATACAGTCTCTGGATCTAACCTTATATACAGTCTCTGGATCTAACCCGGGTAAGAAGTGAAACACGGTCACAGCACCTGAAGTTCACGGTGTAAACCTGAAGTTAGCACTGTGGACATTAGCCTGTGATGGCTAATGTTAGCAGACACCCCGTGACCCCTCTGCAGTGGTGCTAGCATTGTAGCAGCAGTCATGCTAAACACAGTTCGTACAACAACGTCAGTGTCACATTTAATCATTAGTAAGTTCATCAATTATAAGAAGTACACGGAATAAGTATGCGGACACCAGTGAACCACTTTCTATCAAAACATTTACTTTTAAAGCGACATGGTTTCATATTTACTGAGCAACAGCGCCCTCTGCAGGCACATGTGGTGATTAGTTGTGTTGGGCTCCGAGCAATGAAGTTGTTTTCTCATGCAGAGAAAAAAAGCACAAGTATAAAAAGATCTGAATGATGAATATTACCCACAGCTGCTTTCACACATGCACTGGACTCATGTCTCATGATCCCTGTCTTCCTGAACCAGAAAAGCTGTTTGCAATTCTTCATATTTTTAAAGCTTCCTGGAGAAATATTGGTGAAAAACAAATTTCTTTAGTTAAGTTTTTTAACTGATCTGAGTTCAGCATTACTCTTAAACTTGCTGGCCCTGATTCTGACAATACTTTAAGCTGTGATATAAGACATTTTCAGACATGAACCTCGGGAAATGTTCAGAAATGTTCTGTTTGTGGCCTTTTACATAAGAAGAACCAGCAGGAAAACATTTCCTAAACATTCAGACGAGGGGTGACTCCTGGGCGGAGCAGCAGGAGGACTTGATGTATAATTTCTAAGCTCAGTGTTTTTGTTTGCATCGCATGTAAAAAGTCTTTTATCACCGAGAACTTGATTCTCGTTGTCTTTGAGTGTCTTCAACGTTTATGGCAACTCTTTTTCATCCTGTAATCTTCCTGTTTCACCCCCGTCATGTGTTAAATACATCATCAACATGCCCACTTGTATGCTGTGAATTTTCTGGACATTTTCCTGGCACATTCTCACATGGGACATTTTACTAGGGAGCTGGCAGAAAGCTTTTGTGTTCTCACATCTCTGCAGGATTTCAGGAAAATGTTTTCGTGTCTGAAAGAAGCTCACACACTTCTCAGTTTGAGCTGCAGGTTAATGCCTGCGGCTTCAGCTGTGTTGTTCTGTGTGGAACTTCACGCTGCATGTTTGGATTTTCACACTCGAAAGTGAAAGCATGAAAAACAGGGAACTCGCGCTTGTCTGCCCGTTGCACAAAGGGACATTTAATAACAGTAGTTCTAAGCCTGATCTAGGTTAGAGTTAAAGTACATGTGCAGCTCTGGTTTTATCTCCGACTTGAGTTTAGTTCAATGGAAGAATGATTAACTCAAAGCTGCGCACACACAGAGGTTAAAGAACATTTCCAGGGCAGAGGACGGACTCAGTTTGACTGTTGTCTCTGGAGAGGAAGCTGATCTGACTGTGAGTTACAGCTTTAGTTCACTGCAGGATAATTGCACTAAAGCGGAGCTGGACAGTTGTTTGTGTTGTATTTCATATTCTGAGGTGAGCTAGGACAGTTTGTATTTGTTTGAAAGTGACAGAAGTGGATGTTTATTATTTTTGAAGTAGAAATGGTTTAAAGATAAAATATAAGTAAATATAAAAAAAATAGAAATAGTGTTTTCCAATAAATGGGAGCTATTATGAAAAGATTCATCAATAGCAAATGAAACTAATTCAACAAAGCTTAAAGGTTTAATAAAAAAAACACCTATACGAGGTACAGGTCCAAAAGTGATTTTAAGTAGGATATCAAATTATACGTGAAGTTAAAAAGAGACTTAATGTGAAAGAATTTGGCTGATTTTACGAATGATAATATGAATTCTGACCACAATCAACATTTTTATTTGTGATTGAATGACAAATGAAGAGTTTAACTAATTCTTTACATCAAAATTGTGGATATTGCTAATCTATTCTTAATTCCTGGTATTAGTTTTGGATATTGTAGAATTAAGTTTGTTGTAGTTATTGATTCTTTATTTAATATAATTGTGTTGTTGTTTGTCTATTTAAGTCGCTGGCCAGACTCATTTTGGTTCCTACCTGCCATTGTTTTCTGTGGGACAGATATAAATGTGACAGTCTGAGTTGGACATGTGCTACAGAGACAAGATAATAAAGTTGTCTGTCCTGAATCCTGCTTGTTTCCCAGAGAGTCTAGTAAATGCTTATGTGCATGAAATTAGGGTGACACAAGTGTTTTGTGGTGTTTTCCGTTGAACTTTGACCGAGCAATGTCACCAAGCTTTTAACAACGCCACTGAAGAATATGTCTCTGTGGCTCAAGTGTGTGAATATTTGGACCAAAGTAGAGTCTTCAAGAAATGTAGTGACTCTAGGACACTGTTTTCAAAAGCTTGATGTCACTCTGAGACGAGAAACAAGCTTTCTGACCTGCTCTGAAGTCAGTTTCCTGATATTGTCCGGAATGTGAGAGCATTAATGTCTGAGTCAGTTGCTCCAGACTTTGCCGGCCTCCTCGTAAAATGTGCAATTGGGCGTGTTGATGATGTGACTGAAGAGAAAGAAAAAGAAGACAAATATCTGAAAAGGAAAAAGATGAGACAAACATGTAGACGACAAAGACGTCTTTCAACTTGGAAAGACGAGGGCCGACCCACTTTATGTTCTGTAAAATATACACTGAGCCGTCTGAGCAGAATTTACACGTCACGCCTCCTGCTGCTCTTACTCAGCAGCACCCCCACACCTGAATGTTCTGGTTGTTCCCTGTTGTTGTTCTTCATATGTAAAAGACAAACTGCGGAAAATGTCCAGTCAATAGTTCACATGTGGAAACAGCTTATGTGGATTATTTTAAACGTTGTGTGTTTTGTCTCTCTTTTCAGGCCAGCTGTCTCCCAGTCCCCCCCCCCCCCCGCAATGGATCCGCTGAACTGCTCAACTCCGAGAGAAACCCTGGAGCAGGTTTCCGTCTTGCTGGGCTGCAGTCCGACCTCTGCAGAAGTGGCGTCATACCTCGACAAACATGACAAACTGAGGCATCTCAGAGAGAATTTCCTGGTGCCCAAAATTGCAGACTTGCCTCCTTGTGAGTAAAAGATAGCATATTACAGAAGACGAAGGGGAATATTGGATTTCAGAGATCCCTTCCTTTTCCATGTTTCTGTAGCTGATCTCTCTCTGGTCGATGGCAGCAACGAGTGCATCTACCTGGTGGGGAACTCGTTGGGGCTTCAGCCCAAAATGACCCGGAAATATCTGGAAGAGGAGCTGGACAAGTGGGCGAAAATGTACGGTGACACTTGAACTCCATAGTGAGCTATAGCTTGAGATAAAGGTGTTTGCGTTTGAGCTTTAAAATAAACTCTTTTCTCAGGGGTGCTCATGGTCACACAGAGGGCTCTCGACCTTGGGCGTGGGCTGAGAACAACATCGAGGCAGTCATGGCTCATATTGTTGGTAAGTGACACTTCACTGAACCCCTGGGAGACACGTCATCCGTCTGTAGTCACTGTCTATACAGTGTATGGAGTGGATGGTCATGTGATAAGAACTACCTACATTTATCTTACATGTACTTTGACTTTTAAGTTTGCCTTATGTCCCCTTGACTAACATGGAGGAGTCTGAGTTTATGACCTATACTGCAGCCAGCCACAAGGGGATGATCAAGATATTTTGGCCTCACTTTTTGTAGAGTTGTCATGTCGTCCATCTTTATTTACAGTCAATGCTCCACACCTGGAATTTCTTTGTCACTCACAAAGCTTATTTATGAGTTACATACAAAGCAGTACAGAACAGCGACACCTACAGGTGGTTGTGTGTTTATGTGGTTATTTGATGCTTTATCTGTTTTGCAACTTTGTCGTGTTTTGTCTGTGAGGTCGGTCGTAAAGGTCACTGGACTATGTGCATCTGGCTGTTTTTGTAGAATCCAAAGTTCACATGCATTTTATTTTTGTTTGTTTAAACAAAGCTGTGTGTGTGTGTGTGGGTGGGTGTGTGTGTTGGGTGGGTCATAAAACTGAAGAGTTCATCTGTGATCTGGAAAAGATCGATGTGATTGATTCAAGAATCCATCGTAGTTCCATGATTGATGATAAATTCCTTCCTTATTTTGTTTAATTCTGGATTTCACAAGCTCTTTGGGACTTTTATGAAACCACGAGAGGTTTCTTCTGTGGAAAGTCAAATATTATGAGAAATGGGATTCTAGTGAAACCAAAAGCAGAAACACAGACAATGAGAGTGAAATCAGTAGGTGTCATGTTTATAAGTTTAATTACTTCAGTTAATACATATACTATACTACAGTGTGTTACTGTAAAAACCAGGAGCAGGTGGAGGACGGTGATTCCTTTGTGAAATAATTGGGTGATAATATTTCCTTCTAAAACTTGGGTCCTCGGCTGGACTGTTTCAAAACATCAGTGGATCCCTGGTTTCTAGAAAATACTGATTCATAAAAAACTGTTCATGAAGTAAAAATGTGTGAACGGTTGATGAAATGAAAACATGACTCATGTTTTCCGTTGTTTCTTACAGGAGCTAAACCTGAAGAGGTGGCGCTGATGAACGGCCTGACGGTGAATTTACATCTTCTAATGGTGAGACACGTATCTTCTAGCGGAGTACTTCACCTCATCTTCAGTTAGGGGGAAGTATAAGTAATTAGGAATATCAAAGGTTTCAAATTTCCTTCATCATGGTTTTAACATCTTAAATTTGACTTAATTTAAATAATGCTATACTCCGTGTCTTAAATTCAAGCTGCGTAATGTGTCTCTACCTGTGACTCTATATTTGTTCCGACATTTATTTTGTGAGACATTACACAAGCAGAATAACAAACCTTTGTCTTGTAAACATATATACTTGAAGTGTAGTCATTGAGTTTAACTCTTGTCATCACTCTGCAGCTCTCCTTCTACAAACCCACAGCAGCTCGACACAAAATCCTCCTGGAAGACAAAGCTTTTCCTTCAGACCACGTGAGTAAGAAAATAGATGTTTATTCTTATGTGCAGACAGATATTTATACAAGTTCAGACTTAAAGATCATTTATTGTAAAGTAAGGTTACCACTTCAATAGTTTTGCAATATAATACAATAATATTTTATTTCAAGGCATGTTTCTAAACCTCCAGGGACACGTTACAATGCATCATATGGAAACACAAGAAAAAATATTGTTTCCTTGCAGATGTCATGAATTAAGCTTCATGGACAGGAAGTAAGTGTGTAGTGTGAAACAGATGAACACCAGAAACCAAGAAAATATCAGTTTGTCACAATTCTGGACAATTGATTTGTACATCTCAATGTTTCTGTAACTTGTCTCCTCAGTTTATGTCCTCTCTCATTGTCTCTCTCTGTCTCTCTCTCTCTCTCTGTCTCTCTCTCTCGTGTCTCCAGTACGCTGTGGAGTCTCAGATCAGGCTGCGAGGATTCGACCCTCAGCAGAGCATGCTGCAGCTGTCACCCAGACCGGTACGTCACAGATTTTTTTGTATTATATAAATATATATTATATATATGTGGGTAAATTATATGTGGGTAAATTAAACAATTCAATTCACAAGTAAACAATATAAATATTAAACAGGTTGTGCAGGTATATTAGGATTAGGTATGATATTGTCAGTCCATATTTTTAAGCCACTGACACTATATATAAATTCGTTCAATAAGAGGTGTGACATGTGGAATAATACATTATGATTGATATACACTACACAGATAATGTACAAGAGGACATTAGCAAAATTACTGAAGTATTTCAAGTATTATTTGTATCTTCATTAGCTTCCTCAAAGTTTTTCTTTCAGTGACATGAGACTATGTTTTCCTGTGTTTCACTGCAGAGCAGAACTTAACTTCTTTATTTACAACATCTATACAAGAGAAAAATAAAACAATAGACATGAGCCAGAGGTTTGAAATGAAAGTGAAGTTTTGCCAGTGTTCTGGGCTGGAAGATGGTGACAACCTTTCTGTAAGTGATGTCAGAGAGGGACGAAAGACATGAGACTGATGACTCTGCTTCCTGCTCAGGGGGAAGAGACTCTGAGAACAGAGGACATCCTGCAGCTGATTGAGAAGGAGGGCGACTCCATCGCCATGGTGATGTTCAGCGGAGTTCAGTATTACACGGGTCAGCTGTTCAACATGGCCGCCATCACTGAGGCTGGACAGAGGAAGGTAAAATCAGTGAAACACATGAACCAGAGGATCAGGACCTTTTTTAAAATAACTCTAATTACTTATATCATTGTAAAATATCTTCCAACAAAAAACACATTTACAAAACAAGAGTAGCGTCATCATTCTGCCTGTGTCTCGGAGACAAACAGGTTTAAGACACTGATAACATCAACCTGGCCTTGTCCCCAATTGCCATTGCCATAGCAACCAAGTTGTAAAGTGTTAACTGGTCATGCAAATCTGCGTTCACCTCAATCAACAGACGCTTCTGCAATCCTGTTGAATGTTTGTAAGACCGACATTAAATAACTAGCGACCTTCTCCTGTTTGTTTGTCAGGGCTGTTTTGTAGGTTTCGACTGCGCCCACGCTGTCGGGAACGCCGAGTTAAAGCTGCACGACTGGGGAGTCGACTTTGCCTGCTGGTGCTCCTACAAGGTCCGACCTCCTTAGTTTTTATTTGTGTCTTTCACATGTGATCTGAAACAGATCTGAAACGATGTCGTCTCTTCTCAGTATCTGAACTCAGGCGCTGGAGGCCTCGGAGGAGCGTTTGTCCACGAGAAACACAAAGACACCATCAAACCAGCGTGAGTGTTTACGCACAGAACATAAAACTTTATTTTATTGTAGTCTGATTCTATTAAGGCTACACAATGTAACTGTCACTGAGCAACAGCGCCCCCTGCAGCCATTATAGTCATTTTAATGAAGCTGCTTTTTTAAGGTAAAAATGATTTATAGTTTATTTAAATACATTTCAGGTGATACATTTTTTCATCAAACAAATTGATGATGTATTTCATGATATATCATTATTTTACTCATATGATCATATGTGCAGTAAATGGGGGTAATGCTTTTTACTTTAAGAAAACAAGTTTTCTTATTTGTACTTATTTGTATTTGTGAGTGAGGTATACTGACTGAAAGACATGTGTCAAGTGTGCAGTAAAAGTATTCTAAATTTGAGTATTTAAATGCGAAGTGTTTAAATCTCTTGTCTCCACCAGGCTGTTGGGATGGTGGGGGCATGACCTGAAGACTCGGTTCAAGATGAATAACGGTAAATTACTGCACGTGACACTTTGCTGTGAAACATCATCTCCTGAGGTCGAGTTACTTCAAAAGTTGTTGTGTGCCATCTTGTGGCCACAATGGATTTTACACCTGAAGTGAAAAGTCTTTGTATCCACATTTGTGATATTTAGACCAAAGCTTTTATATCTTTTGTTGATTCTCTTTATAATCAAGGTTTTAAATGAATTATCAAGCTCAGGTTTTTTTTTCTGTGATCAGTGTTGGAGCTGCAGCCTGGTGTGAGCGGCTTCAGACTCTCCAACCAGCCCATCCTGCTGGTCTGCCCCCTGCAGGCCAGTCTGCAGGTACTGAAAATACAGTTTTAAACATATCTTTATTTCTGAGAACTGATTTTCACTGACACCAATTCAATTTTGCCAGGTGTTTAACATGACCAGCATGCAGGAGTTACGCAGGAAGTCCCTCCTCCTGACAGGTTACCTGGAGTATCTCATCCAACAGTTCTACACTGAAGACTCCAAGCAGCCCAGGAAACCGCACGTCCGCATCATCACGCCCTCCGACCCTCTGCAGAGAGGCTGCCAGCTCTCACTCTCCTTCTCTGTCCCCATCAGGAAGGTTTTCCAGGAGCTGGAGAAGAGAGGAGTCGCAGTGAGTAACTGACAAGTTGTTTTTCAGTCAATTCCTGTGTTTTAGGGACTTAGCTGTGGTAGGAGGGGATGTATCCATTGTAAATTGTCAAAGTGCTCTTGCTGCAACTTTTTACATTAAAGGGATAGTTCACCCCAAAATTAAAATGTGCTCATTATCTGCTCGATGGAGGGGTGGGTGAAGTGTTTGAGTCTACAAAATACTTTAGGAGTAAACAGTGTTGCAGCCAAAGTGACTGCTGCTTCAGACGTAATAAAACATAACATGCCTACATGCTCGTGTGGTGTCATCCAAGTGTCCGCAAGCCCCGAGGAGGATATCAGAGGAATGAAAGTTTCAAGCCGAACTTCAATGTTTGGGCTTACAGACACTTGGATGATGCCACACAAGCACTCTGGAGGCATCTTAGGTAAAGAGGTAAAAAAAAAAAAGTAAAGAGGAAATAACATCCACCTCACCCAGATGAAGTGGCTGCCTCCACTGCCACATATGTGTGAGTCCTGCATCGTGACACAACAGCCTTGTAAAAGCAGACGATATAAGTTTCATTCTGCTCACTCAAACTCATTCATGCCGTGTGCCTGAACTTATTTCCTGTCTCTCAGTGTGACATGAGGGAGCCCAGCGTGCTGCGGATCGCGCCGGTGCCGCTCTACAACACCTTCAGTGACGTTCACACCTTCATACAAACACTGGGAGCTGCGCTCGCAGCCGATGAATGAAGAGGGCTGGACTGCTGCAAAGCCACAGAGGTATAAGAAGATGTAAAGAAAAACTGGACCTATTTTTAAAATTTGTCTGTAAATGAGTAAATGTCTATTTCAAGTACATATTGCTATATTTAAAAAGACAAACATGGCACCATTAATCACTGTTTGATGATATAGAGCAGGAAATTTGGCTGAAACGTGGCAATTTAAAACAATGTGAAATTTGCAAAACGATGGAAGACGTGTCTCCATCTTCTGCGGTTTAACAAAAATCAAGCTAAAATATCACGTATTCAGTTTCCACCACTTCACACAAATAAAACCAAACTTATCAGAACCACTAACCTTTGGAGAACGTCAGTGTGAGAACCACCTGAAATGACACAGACCATTTTTGACAAACATTTCCTGAACGTGTACGTTGACTTTTGTTTTTAGTGCGATGTCTGTTGAGGATTTGACCTTAAAGTAATTGAGCAAGTAAAGAGTTGTTCACCTGTTTATTCCATTTTTAATTATATTCAACATATCTAGCATATCTCAGACTCAACACTACATTTTAACGGGACCTTAACAATACGTGAGGTGAAGATGAACAGCTGTCATGTCGTCCATCTCAATGTACAGTGTGAGCATACACTGTACATTGAGATGGACAACATGATACCAAAGTGTCTCGATCACCCCCTGGTGGCTGGGACATGGACTACAAAGTCAATGTACACACAGAGAACATCTTTGAGCAAAATGAATTCAGTCATTTGAAGTGGTTCTTATCACACTGAAGTGTGAGGACAGTCGACTGAGACTCACGTTAGCTGAGAGCGTGGTAGGGTCTCTCCACAGCGCCTCCAAGTTTGCAAGACGGCAGCGTTTGTATTCACAATCTTTTGGCTTCATTTCTGGATAGAGAGCGGAAGTGGAGACATGTCAACTATCACAGTCTGTGGTTTGAAATCACACTATGCTCACGTCTCACTAAAAAATAAATTCCTTTGAAAAGGACGTATTCTCTGCATCATTAGTCAGAACATATTACATTACATGTCATTCAGCAGATGCTTTTAGCCAAAGCGACTTCAATTGCATTCAACATTTACTGAGCATATTTTCACGCATGTATAAACAAAAAATATTCAGCATTTGTTCCAACTTTCAAGCACATATAATTCTCTAAAGACAACTTGATGCCTCGGTTAAAGATCTTGAGTTTTACATGTCCAAATTATTTCAACAAAAATTAAAACAAAAGCTCTGACAATTCCCTGCTGGCGTGATTCATCTTCCCGGTTAAGCATTAGGGCTCGATACCCAGAGATCTCACAGCATGAGGTTTGCAAATGTTTTTTTTTTGGGTCAAAAAGATTCTTAGGAAACCCCGTCTCCCTCACCCGACCGTACATTACACACATGAGTTAGCCGACAGTCCTCCCCTCACCAATTAACACCTACTTTATTATAACGTTGACTTCTCCTTAATGTTCCCGTGTGTGTTTATGCACTATTACCTTGACGGATGCCTATTCCACGATCAGACGTAATTGGCATATCAATATGCAAAAACCTAAATGGATTAACCTTCTTTAAAACTAATGAGCACTTGGCTGCCCAGCTGGGGAACAGACCAAAATTAGCATTTGTCATCTTTTTTTGGTGATGTGAGAATAAATAATTGAAGAGAGGCTGGGTACTCTCTTTCCTTGGGCTACTTATGGTGATGTTAAAAAAAAGAAAAAGAATGCAGATTTACCTTCTTCATGACGACCACAAGCTCGCTGAGTTCACACACAGGGTCTAAAGACAAAAATATAAAGGAAATACACTCTGTGATTGTATTAGATAAATAGTAATGTGTTAAACGTAAGAAAATACATTAATATTTATGATTTGAAATAGTTACAAGCTAATAGACGTCTACATTTATATGTGTAGCACTAATTTACAATGAATTCTGGGTAAGTTAAGTCTTAATGTAATGTTGAATTGTGTAAAGATGAGAAGAAAACATGAACTACTGCCTCATTTCATCACATCGTACCTGAGCCAAGAGTTGAGTTTTTGTGACGATCTGAGGTTTGTTTGTTCCAAAGCTGTGAAGTTTGAATCCACTTCATCCTGTTGATGAGAAGAAAATATCAAAACATTTCAGAAGAACTAGTAAAATATATCAACCTCAATAGATTCAAACAACTTGTAGCGTTCACAGAGTTTATTCATTGCCATCTTTCTCTCTCTCCTTGCCCTCTCTACWTTTCTTTCTCTTGCCTCACTTCTGTATTTTAGCTCACTTGCCTTCTCCCTCTTCTCCTGTCTCTCCCAGCCTTCTTCTGTCTTTCTCCTTTCTCCACTTTTCTCGCTCTCAGCCTTCCATCTCTCTCACCCCCTCTACTCCTCCCTCCATTCCTCTCTAAGCCATCTCTTTCTCTCCTACCTCCCTTCTCTCCACCTCAACTCCTCTCTCATTCTCTCTCTCCCAGCTTTCCTCTCCTCCTCTTTTCTTACACTGTCTCACACACGAAAAACTCATCAGTCAGTGAAATCAAAACGAGAAACAGTGAATGGACCTTTTCAATGAGTTGAGTCAGTTTCAATCAGTTTGCTGACACTCAGGTTAAATAACAAACTTATTTTGACATTTAACATCACCCGTCTACTTCTYTAGTTATCCCCTCGTCATGTGTGGGGACTAAACGGCGCCCTGGGCCGGTTGTGGCGGTGGCTGCGGCGACAGGTAATAGGGATTGAGAGCTGCACGCATCCAAACTAATTACCCCAAACAGCCCCCGCCGCAGGCTTATTGAGCCCACATCTCTCTGAGTTGACAGGTTCTGAAGGTAGCCTTTTCATCCCAGTAATTAATTGTCGGGGAACTAAAGCGTGAAAGGCTACAGACAGGAAAACTTTAGTGAGCGCGCTCTTGGCAGGTCGGCCGCGACAGCCACCGAGGGAAGAAAACATCATAAAAAAAACAGGTGCAAAAGAAAGCTAGAAAATAAAAAAAGAGTAGATTAGTCTTGGGTGGTTTGGCTTCATTTTGGGTTGAGCTCAACTTGAAGAATCCCATCAAGCTTTTCYGTCCTTTAATGAAGTGGATAAAAGCAGCTTGTTTTTAAGTCAGAAAATGGTTTTGTTTGAAGAGCAGACTTCATGAATAAGAGACGAAATCACAATAGAAACGAGAAGAAAAGACAAAATATTAGCCCAAAAGAAAAAAGGGAGGAAGGGGCGCTCCGTGCTCAGATGATTTGGAATCAGATACTACAACCTTGTTAGCATCGCAAGCTTATTTCCATATTAACGACCCCTTCAGAACCTTCAAAGTTATGAATAATTGACAACAAATGAAATGTTTTGATTGTCGTCGGCGCCCGGCGTGTTTAATGTTTCATATGTTGCTTCCGAGCTAATTATGAAGATGGCACATTTGTCAGAAATACGTCCCCCTTTGCAACCCCTGCGCGACCCTCCCACTGTCCTCCACAGATGCCCGTGTGTTTCCAGACAGGAGGTGGAGAGAGGAGGGGGGGGGTGCAGACAACTCCAGGCCCTGTTGTAATTAGCTAGCAGGGAATGCTCAATGACCTGGGAGTGAGTCTAATGGCTGCCAGCGCTTACAGGCATTGTTTGGCCACAGAGACACCAGATATTACAACCTCCGAGGGACAAGGCCAGTTAGTTATCTCGCTCTGTGTTGTAGGACGACACCTGGCTGCTGCAGGCGGAGGAAACGAGTCACGGTTTACCGATCGTGAGTGGCTGCAAGTAGATTGTCATAAAGGTGAAGAACTCCTGTCGTTGTTATTGTTTTGATTCAGAGACCCCTAGTGGCCGAAGCTACATAATGTACATTTAAATTGTCCGAATCAAATTCAAGAGTAATGGTGAACTGYGGATCTGTTWAAAAGACATTAATCAGCCTTGAGCAAAATATGTGATGCTAAACGTTTGTTAACATACTCGCTACTTGCACATTTAGTTGAGAACTAGATCTGTGAAACTGGACAGTACACGTTGGAAATTGAAGGCAGCAAATTGTATTTGTCTGTAGGACGG